TTGAAGAACAGACTGTTGAGGCAGGCCTGGAAGTGTGTGGAACTTTCGTCATGCAGCTCTCAGTCGAAAAGAGCCTTACGCTCCAGGTGTAACGGCTTTAGTTACAAAGTCCACGAGACGCCGAGCGTACTAAATATCGGAAAAGCAAACATAAAGTTAATTTTACGGACAAGTAAAATAACTAAAATTAGGTTCTTTTCTTTCTGCTTATCACTTCCATTTCATGACGAAAGAAGCTATCTAATATAAGGTACCACCTATAACTGTTAAAGTAAAAAAAGGGATAAGAGCAAAAAGAGATTTACATTGCGCACATGAGAGGCCCTAAGGTCTAGATGGGTCCACTCGGGTAAAAGTCAAAGAGCAGTTCTCAATCGCTATCTTGTTAATGCAGAGACTAAGTAAACATGAGCAATATTGCTGTAAAAACGTGGTAAGTTGGTTTTTGTGTTGTTAAGGAGCGGCATAGCGGCGACATCAAATGGAATATGCGAGTTTTCCTTTAAGTTAACATTAGAAGGTGAGATCGAACTTTCAAGCCCTTCGCAGAAAAGCACATGTGATGGTTTTAGATCAAATCAAAAGAACTTTTTTGTTACCATAGTGAAAAACTAAGAAATTTGATTCTTTAACACACAAACAGTGCAAACCTCTCCAAAAGGAGAGGTGAAGCGCTGGTATATTATATTGGACACCACCTTATGCAGCTTTCCTTTAATCAGGATAATTAGTGAAAAGGCAAAAGGGGAACAAGCGAATATTACATGACGATCGCACAAGACGTTCTCAATAGCTAACCTGATCTGGTTTCACTGTGCTGATATTTTCTGCATCTGATCCATACTTGACCGTTTTCGCTGCTGTAGCCGTGCGTTTCTTCACTCCGTAATAGGTGAGAATATCTACAAGCCCGATAAAGTAAATCAGCTTCTTTGGAGCATCTAAAAGTGAAAAATTTATGAATCAACAGTGCAAGAAGAATCAGCAAACAGGAAGTCTGACCGGGATGGCTTGCGATAGCATAATACTCGTCGTCCAAATCTGGACCGCCAGAGAGCGGTGGGAAGGCACCTGTAGATGGAATCGGTGAGTCAGGAGGGGTTGGGCACAGCTCATCAGCAGATTCTTCACTGACGTGCTCTACTGGACGTTTAGCAGCTTCTTCCGCGGCGCGCTCGCAGTCGTGTATACCTAAGAATGCATGATGAGCGATGTGGAATGACGTGGCTTAAATTGTGCTCACCCAAAAGCAAGGAATAGTCCATAAGATGCATTTTGGAAAGCCATGCAGTGTCAGCAGCCAACATCTCTAGTAACTGATGGCGGGTCTCCTTAAATATAGTTAGCCTATCTTCATGAGCTCCACTGCTCTTATTGGTGCGCCATGACAGCAACTCTTTTTTCCTTTCATTGTGCATTTAAACAGAAAGAAGGCAAAAGAAAGCAGATAGTTTATAATCACTGCCGGACGAAGAAACATACAGATGCATTTCTACATACCTCGGGGAGACTTAACTTTTCATTCATCTCGAGAAAATCATTGTCTTTGAGTGTAGGCACCTCTTTGTTTTTCTCCTTCTCCG